ATGGAAATCATACGAACAAGACTTGCACAAGTCGGTAGCTAAAATGTAAGCTGCTTCATATTATATTCAGCCACTCTCTGAGCCTAGCACGACTCCAAGGACAGTGCACCCGCCCCGCAGCAAAGATTAGCAATCTGCTAGAACCACTAGACGAGGTTGTGTATGTTAGAGAGGTGGGCAGCCTGTTAGCATTCACATCACGCGCGGCCACACCGGGGATATCAAATAACCAACATGCAGTTCGAGGAAAAATATTCAGGCAACATCGACGCGGAATATGTCCCAGGATGACAGTTAGTGGCAAACATTTGACATTCCGTAAATTCCCCGGCCATACGTTTTCCTCTTTCCCTGATCATCCCTGTGCAGGCTTGTCAAGCATTGTGTCGAATAAACTGTTTACTTAGTTAAATGCACTCACTTGAGGACGTGAGAGTAATGAGCTGGGAGATCTGTGACAATAGCAGATGCTCTTTTACTTTTAGTTGACTAGAAAGTACCGACCATTTGATCGAAGGCTAAATATGAACTCGGGCAAAAACGGATCGTTGAGATGAGCAAATGGTGGAGAGTAGGTTATATGAGACCGGGTACCGGAATCTCCCTCTGTGTCAGTGCTCTCATTTGCGCAAGCCAAGGAACTGTGAAGTCCCTAGGTTAGAGCTGATGAAGTTGTCCTTTCTATCGAAGTTCTGATCGGATCCATGTTTTTATTGGAATGTTTAACCTTTGGAAGCAAGTGGGTATGGTATAGTGAAGAGCCACTAAGGGTGAGCGAATCGCACGCCGATGCAGCAGGGTCTTTTACTTTCTACCATCATGGAATCCGTACATACAAATGAATGACTGATTATGTGTTGCGTCAGTTGCGCTGACTGTTTCCATAAGCAAAGTGTTTGTCTATCACCAAAGTCTTGAAAGCTTGTTACGTGGGGCATGTAGAAAGCACTACGAATTTATTTCTCTCCGTAGGTCACGGAATCAGTTAGTCTTTAACTTACATTCACGTCGAATCTCGCCAAGTCAAAAATGAGCTTTATGTACCCACATGTGGTTAAAATAAGCACACCATCAGGATTGTAATAACTTAAACCTAATAGGAGTCAATGCAAAAGAGAGTCTAATAAAGACGTTGTACAATGGTGCCATTAAAATAGAAATTAAATTTCAGCTTTAAAAGCAAAGCGCAGGACATGGGAACATAGACAGAAAATGGGCGTACATATGGGTATAACCAGTTTTTACTTCAATTCGATCACTCTGTGTTATACACCAAGATTTCGAAACAGTCTGACTTGATCCAGTTAAAAAGCCCATCAATTTTCTGTGGGTGGTGAAAGTATAGATGTGTTAGTAAAGTTTAAGTCATAAATAATAACCAAATTAACAGTTTACAACAGTCAGTTCCCTTCAGAAATTTAAAAAGCAAGGAAAGAAGACGAAAACTGGTAGATGCATGCATTTCGTGTTGTCTCCTCAGTACCATTAACAATAACCGGTATGCAACTATATACTTAAATATGCGCGTGACCGAATAAGCGTGAGATGTAAAATGAATGACGGGAGTTCCACCCCGATGTCCACAGCAGTCTTAAGCTGATAAATAACTGCTTATGAACACACAGGGCCAGCTTTATCCAGCTTATCGCAACGGCCTCGTCGAAACGGAGGAAGCGGGGATTAGGGTGACATAATACAAGTGTGAACGCTGATCCGAGCTCTATCCGGTGATGCGTAATCAATATGTGTTTACTTATTGAGGAAGCTGGCGGCTTGCGCAAACACGGAACTTCAGTGGGACAGAGATGCTGGTCAATTTCACGTTGAACCCACCTTGGCACGTGTTCCTTTATTCGGGAAGTCAAAGACCGATTGGTTCTGCCTATGGAACTGTCTCCGCAGTCGCACACGAATTTGTACATGCAGTGTGAGTTGGCCCCTATCGGTTGAGCTTCCTTCCTTGGAGGCACCGGCAAGTTACAGGTTCTATTGATGACCACAACCTGAGCAGCACAGTAACTTTTCTGCGTAGCAGAGATTAACCGTCTCGTGGTTTTCAATACAGTAAAGTCACCCTTGAAAGGCAACTCGATATAGACCTTTTACTTGGCTGCCATATGCACCAAGTCCTTCGGGCCTCGCTGTTGACTGTGTCTCACTATAAATCTACGTGAATAACCATTCGCAACGAGTGTTGTTGTAATTAGCTCTAACTCGTCGGCTAGACATTCAGGCGAGCAAATGCGTCTAGCAGGACTAACTAAAGTTTCACAAGGGTCCGCTTGTACCACACTGGTGTGAAGCTGGTGAAGTGCAGGTATTGGCCGGACCAGGTTGCTTTTCTGTAGATAGAACTTTTAATCAGCCCGTCATCCCTGCGACTGATGAGGATGTCTAAGAATGGGAGACAGTTCTTCTGTTCCACTTCGCAGGTGACTCGCACGTTGGTATGTGCGCAGTTGAGTGGCTGCAGCAACTGGGCAATCTGCTGCTCCGATGAACAAAAAGCCAATTTGTCATCCACATAATGCTTATAGTATGGTAACTGGGCTATTTCTGAGGATATGCCTCTTCCTATCATCAGCATTAAGAAATCGGCAAGTACAGGGCCTAGTGGGCTTCCCATTGCCACACTATCAATTTGACGACATGGGACGTTCTGAAAGTGGAAGCCAACATTTGCTGTACAGAGATATAAGGGTTCGTTTAGAAATTCGACCGGAATTGGTAACGAGTAACTAGATTCTCGGCTAACTCACAAATATAATGGGACGTCGGTGAATAAAGATTCCACATCTAACGAACACATGATCTTATCGGAGTTGTTGATATCATCTGAGTCATCGATAAGATGAAAAGACTAAATGGATTAGACAGTTGTCGCAAAGGCGAAAGTATCTTCACTAGCCAGCGAGCCAATTTATGCTGCGACACATTTACCTTTGATGAAATCGGCCTAGGTGGTACTCCACTCTTGTGCGTCTTCGGTGACCCGTATAACTGCGGAGTAGTGCTTCCACTTGGCTTCAAACAATTATAGGTGTCACTATCAATCACACGATGAAGGAGAAGCATTTCAAGATGGGAAACTATGCTAGCTTCAACGTCGGCTACGTTCCCCATCTTATTAAGTTGTTCAAATTTGCTCGTGTCGTTGAGTATGGTACTCATTTTCTGAGCGTACTCGGCCTTGTTCATGACTACTACTCCAGAGCCCTTATCCGGTTTTATTACAACTATGTTCTTAGTACGCAGTTCACGCAGCGCCTGAAGGTGCCGGCCTGTAAGTGCGCATTTTTCAGTCACTGACACAGTCTTAACTTCGTGGGCAATGTCGGTCAATTTGTTTCTAAACTAAACAACACTCTCAGGACTAGATGGTTGAAGCTACTTAACTTGCTTAAAAAGTTCTCAAAATGAGCTTCTAAAGGAATCCTTGCCTCTCTGTACAGCAAATGTTGGCTTCCACTTTCAGAACGTCCCATGTCGTCAAATTGATAGTGTGGCAATGGGAAGCCCACTAGGCCCTGTACTTGCCGATTTCTTAATGCTGATGATAGGAAGAGGCATATCCTCAGAAATAGCCCAGTTACCATACTATAAGCATTATGTGGATGACAAATTGGCTTTTTGTTCATCGGAGCAGCAGATTGCCCAGTTGCTGCAGCCACTCAACTGCGCACATACCAACGTGCGAGTCACCTGCGAAGTGGAACAGAAGAACTGTCTCCCATTCTTAGACATCCTCATCAGTCGCAGGGATGACGGGCTGATTAAAAGTTCTATCTACAGAAAAGCAACCTGGTCCGGCCAATACCTGCACTTCACCAGCTTCACACCAGTGTGGTACAAGCGGACCCTTGTGAAACTTTAGTTAGTCCTGCTAGACGCATTTGCTCGCCTGAATGTCTAGCCGACGAGTTAGAGCTAATTACAACAACACTCGTTGCGAATGGTTATTCACGTAGATTTATAGTGAGACACAGTCAACAGCGAGGCCCGAAGGACTTGGTGCATATGGCAGCCAAGTAAAAGGTCTATATCGAGTTGCCTTTCAAGGGTGACTTTACTGTATTGAAAACCACGAGACGGTTAATCTCTGCTACGCAGAAAAGTTACTGTGCTGCTCAGGTTGTGGTCATCAATAGAACCTGTAACTTGCCGGTGCCTCCAAGGAAGGAAGCTCAACCGATAGGGGCCAACTCACACTGCATGTACAAATTCGTGTGCGACTGCGGAGACAGTTCCATGGGCAGAACCAATCGGTCTTTGACTTCCCGAATAAAGGAACACGTGCCAAGGTGGGTTCAACGTGAAATTGACCAGCATCTCTGTCCCACTGAAGTTCCGTGTTTGCGCAAGCCGCCAGCTTCCTCAATAAGTAAACACCTATTGATTACGCATCACCGGATAGAGCTCGGATCAGCGTTCACACTTGTATTATGTCACCCTAATCCCCGCTTCCTCCGTTTCGACGAGGCCGTTGCGATAAGCTGGATAAAGCTGGCCCTGTGTGTTCATAAGCAGTTATTTATCAGCTTAAGACTGCTGTGGACATCGGGTGGAACTCCCGTCATTCATTTTACATCTCACGCTTATTCGGTCACGCGCATATTTAAGTATATAGTTGCATACCGGTTATTGTTAATGGTACTGAGGAGACAACACGAAATGCATGCATCTACCAGTATTCTTTTTCTTACCCTGGTTTTCAAATTAACAGTTGTTACGCTACTTGTTCTGCACTTAAAGCTACGAATTTTTCGTGCTTTGATGGCGACTTTATATTGTGATATGTTGATAGTTTATGTTCAATATTTTCACCTGATTGTAGGTTTCGGTGTTTATGGGGACAGCTTCCTGAGTGTTCCATAGACTGTCCTTATAGTAAAAATGGGATCGCATGGTGTGTCTCATCTGATTTGCCGAATGTATATTGCTCTGTGATTGGCGAGCTTATCCCAACACAATGCTGACTGACACGTGAAGTGTTCCCCAGCGGCATTCACAAAGGCTTTCAGTCGGGATGTGCACTTTTCTTTCGGATAGTATGGGAAAACCCTGAAATACTTGCTTGCGCATTCAGCTAAAAGATGGAAAGATCAGTATTGAATGGTTCCAGTAAAATAATTTTATCTAATTTTACTCCCTCCAAATCGGAACTCTACAGAGCTGCACCCGTCCAACTAGATCGACCTCTGGGGAAACCCGTGGACTGGATCCAAATGGCCAACAGACCGGATCCACATTTACTGAACATGATGTCACTTAACGTACCGGATCCGTCATTGCACAATTCCAGGAGCTCCAGTATTGCTCCCTCTGAGTTTGATAGGCCTAATCATGTACCAATATATCACTCGCACAGTTCTAACTTATCAAAACAATCCACTCCAACGGGTAGTATCAAAAGAACGAGAAGAGAACAGTGTACGGATTGCTGGTCAAAATCATCCATATGCATGAAACAATTTTCTAAATTCCTACTCTCGCACGCCGGTTTGGCCATCTTGGTTGTGTTGTACGCATTGTTGGGTGGATTTCTATTTTACTGGTTGGAACAAACATGTGAGCTTCATGTGAAACAAAATGTGACCAGGCGACGCGCTCAACTGGTAGACAATTTAATGCAGTTGTGGCGAGACAGTCAGCTAGAGGTGCTGCAATCCATTCAAGCGGACACTAAAGCCATAATGAGGCTTGGCGCAGCCCATATAGACAACACGGCCGAAATGCGTCAAAAATTAGGAATTGATCGCTCTACCGGTGCTTTTCCTGAATTTGGCAGTCTGAAAATCAAATCGCACGCTGACCGAGAAAAGTTACTCGCCGGACTGACGTGGTACTTAGCTGGTGTGGGTTGGCAAAGGAAGATAGTTCCCAATTGGTGGTTCCCAGGTCAGTTTAATGTCACTACTACGCCGACTGATCCTAACGTTGAACGCACCACATCCACGGAATTTGTATCTCAGCAGGACAGTGTCGACCGGACAGCATTGTTGAAAGCGGAGTATTTTTCGAAAGAAATGTTGAAAAACATCTCGGATCCTTTGATCATATTGACCAATCTTAACGATTTGTTACCCATGATAGTCGATGTAACATACCGAAGCGAAAAACGCATCAATGAATTGATTACAAATTATATAAAACACATTGTCTCAGCCATCAAAGATGACGGATGGAATGGTGCGGAAAACATGGAAGACATGAACTGGACGTTGGAGGGAGGGATTTTGTATGCAGTGACTATAATAACAACAATAGGTAAGGCATATTTGTGGCGTATTTTGAATAATAAATGTGTTGTCTTATGGAGCATATCAGTATTTGTTATAGGTTGATCACTAGTATGTTTCCATGCCGGATATGTTTGTTTATTAATTCTGATGGTTTGCTTAGATTCTGGTGACCGCGACTGTAATAGCAACATTTTCATTCCAAGAAAGTATCTGGCCTTTAGGTTGTCAGATGTCCCTATCACACATGAGATGTGGCACGCTACTAATTGCTCGCGTACCTACGTAAACATGACTATAATCGATCATCTGGTGCAACTGCCTGTGACTAGTTAATTGCTCTTTGCCAAGTGATATTTGTGTGCATGTAATACGGGCCGTGACCAATCTTACGTGCTAGTTGTGTTTACGTGCGTTTGCTCATATGTCAAAGTATAATGACCAACTAGTGCCAACCCACTCTGGACAACGTTGTATATGTCATTTGTAGATAGTTTTATTCAGTGCATATATTCAAGCTTGTCGCAAGACCATGTGGCTTAGTTTGGAACATTTAACTATCACCAACAGTTAGACAAATCGTTTTTATGTTACTGACAGTTGGGCGCTGTGCTCAGTAAAATCCAAATCACACAACAAAAATTCCTTCATTCTTTCCTCCAACAATCAGCTCAAACATTTAGGTTAAATACTACGAATAAGGTCATTACTGAAGGTCGTATTGGTCGTAGGCGATGGTCTCTTTCTGAGAAGTAAGAGGCGCCCACTGTCTGATAGCTTTGTTGCCGAAACGTAAGTGATGGTAAAATATCGGTAGCTTTACCACTGAACTGATAGGAGCAACACTCGTTAAACGCTTACCCGTTATATTGATTCAAAACATTGTCATAACTGCAGTTGACAACACATAGCCCTACCCCGATTCTTAAACATGGTTGAGAGATCAATGCCAAATGTCCAGTACCCATTCAAACGATCTCATCCATCCCGTCCATTCGTGTATCATAGTACTGTGCCTGATAAAATTTTTACTAAGCCTGGATGTTAATGAAGAATAACTGTAGACGACCATGACCAAATTTACGAGTTGTGTGGTTATCTATTGACTCGAGGTTTTTGTGTATGCGGTTCGATGGTCTAAAGTCGTTTGTCAGTAATGCATCAAATCAGCTGGCAGTAACCGTATCTTTTAGTTGGTTGGAACAAATCTTGTCATAATAACAACTGGAATTTAAGGATGAGGGAATTTCATACGCTTGTTGCAATTGTACTATTGTCAGTAAGTACGAAGTGTGACCGAATATAAAACAGTAATCCTGGTATGCGTTGCGTCTAAAATTATGTTTAGTTAGGATGTTTAAATTCCCCTATTAATTCGGCTTACCGTCACCACCATGCCTACAATCCTGCATAATCTGTTTTCCTTTCACTTACCAAGCATACAACCAAAAAAATGTAAATCCTAACAGAATATCGTTAAAAGATAACTGGCTTGGGTGGATAAAATTCAGGACAACCGGATCTTGTCAGCTCGGTTATCATTACTAAGAAACATAGCGGATTGCCGTTTCGTATTTTCGGACTGAAAGCAACAATTTAATCAAACCATCTCCATAGGCTATTGGTTTCGCGTTAAGTGTTTATGCTTCTAGTCTTCAGTGCGCTGAAATTCATTTGGTACGATTACATGTTAAGTTGAAAATTTTCATATCAGTTGAAGATTAGAAAGGAGGTTTCACGTCAATAGACGTAGTTTCCTTGCCTTTCGTACATAAATGTACCGTTCAGCCCTGTGTTCGGCTACATTTGCAGAGCCGTGGACTGGCAAGCAGCATTGTGGTGTATCAACTCAATGGAACATTCATAAACGCGTTTGTTTTCCTAAATTATACACGATACAAGTGAAATGCTACAGCATGCACGCGACAGACTACATTTTCGACCCAAAAGTACACAAAAAATGCGAGACACACCATGATCCCGAGTACCTTGTTTCTTTACGGAGAGGATATGCCCGTGTGTAATGTTAGGAAACCGTTCTTGCTGATGGGGCGTGGCTACGTTACTTCGTGATAAATCTAGAAATGGTAGACACAAGTTCATATACTAGACATGTTGACTGCAACCCAAACTTGATTTCATGAAACTAAACAAAATTTCACATACCAGGAATAGGGAATGAAGTTCTGACAGCATCAACAGTGGTTGGATTCTGTGACTGTTGTTTGATGTGCCTAGATAACTGTGTTGGCTAAACGTGCTTTTCGAAACGCAACCTACAGCAGAGTATTCTTTGTTTCACTCTGCTTACCTAATGCTGATCATCAAGTCAAGTCAAGTCTTCTGCAAACACCCGGGTGGAAGCATTTTCAGCAATTTACAACATATGACAATAGTAATTATAAAATAAGGTCACTTATTGCGTACGCAACAAAACATTGTATAACTGTTCCATATTAAATACACTGCATGAATGAAATGCGGACGAAAGCCGATGTACAAATGATCGTTTCACAAAAGTGTACGTATCCCGCTTGTCGGGAAATATGCCCAATTATTTATGTATTTAGTATTTAACGCTGAGGGTATACTACAAAATAGAATCGGTGGTATAATTATGAAAGGTGACAAGGAAAGCAAATGGAGTTTATTTATAAACAAGTAAATTCTATGCAATTAATGTACAAATAATTTACGGACGTTTAACAAACGAGATAGACAGAGAGAGTGTTACTATAAGAGAATAAAACTCTGCGTTGTGACTTCATGGAAGAAATAAATACCGAATGGGTTAGAACTGTGTTCAGGGGGTCGGAGTGTTCGTTTAAATCTTGGATGAAAACTTAAGCATGTGCCGAAAGTTTGCTAAATACAAAAATCAATGAAGGAATCCTAGCTCAGTCCAGCGCGTCGGGAAATAAACTTTAGTGAGCGCACGATAAGCTTATAAGCCTTTTGAAGATTTTCAAGGAAATAGGTTGAGAACGGTACATTCACTGTGGGGAATACATAAATGTACAAAACTTTGAGTCTTGGAATGCAACACATCAAGAATTTGGACCTGGGGAAGGAAAAGGGTAGTCTTCTGACTTTGTGAATAACCTCAATAAGTTGTGTCGATTACGACAAGTTGCAAGATAAAACGAGATATTTTACAGTGTATACACGAGAGATGCTCTGGACATTCAAGACCAAATGTAATGGCTATGCCCAAAGTAGTTTTGGTCGATTTAACAAGCTAATGGCCTATTATGATTTATAACTACAAGTAAAAATACCAAAAGTTCCCAAGACCTTACACGTCATTTAGAGACGCTTACTGTATCGTTTAAACATGCGTCTGATGTTTCACATATAATTAATAACGACAAACCAGTAGGCAATAAGCTGACACAAACTTGGTCCTCAACATTGCGTCGTCCACTCACGTCGACTTTCTTTCTCATGTAACGTGCAACGCAGATGACCACTTTCTGCAAGTATAGCCTGGGTCCGACTTCTATCAGGACTCGAATGAAGTTTATACAGATACTGAGCAAGAGATAACAAAACGATGGCTAGGCGTTTTCCTGTTTGTATGCTGAACATCTGTCTACGTATAGCTGCGGTAGAATACCCAAAAGAGATTCGTCATTTGACTAAAATCTAAAGGTAACCTGAGCAAATAGCCATCTCGTTGATGGTACTGTAAGAAGATCGAAGCAACAGCATGTCTCACGAAAGATGTTGATGTATCCGTAGCTTTGGCTTGCTTGAACCGATCTCAGATACCCTGTTCTATGTTTCAGTGTCCGGTAGCACTGCTGCTAACTCATTTGTTAGGGATCATCTCAATACGCACGAACAATATCACTGCCTAAGAAGAGGGCCAAAGTACAAGTTCTTTGATTACATTTAGATCGTTTTTGGAAGGTTTTTCAGGAATACGATGGCTAAATTATTACAAACGAATCTAAGTGGTTTCATAGAAAGTGCTTACAAACACGCCCATTCAGGCGCGACAGTTGCACTAAATCAGTGGATGACCGTAGGGATCTTCTTGGGTTTCTTAAAGTTCTTCACTTGAGAGGGACACTGCAACTGCCCCAGATGAATTCGTGACAGATAATTAATCAAAATTTTCGCGGTAGATCCCGGTGGTAGACAGATGTAATTGTTAATTGGGTATGTTGCTTTACATCCTCCTTTTTAATGTTTTGCTAACTGTAACGGTCAAAGAAATTGTTATACTCTACGTTGTCACATTACTTGCAGTATATGGTTTACTATGTACGTTGGCCTATCTACCAAACTGATACCAAATCAGTTATACCAAGGAGGAAATCCTAGTATTACACCAGTATCGGGTTATTCAATTCTTCCTCTTCGTTATTATAATGGTGGAGGTATCCGTGAAATTTACACTGAACAATAAGATGTAATGGACTACTATGTGTGTAATCTATCACCCTTGAAGTAATCAACCTAAACTTTATTAGCGTAATATTAATGGGATACTTAACCACGGTTTACATGTTATTTGTTTGGGGAACGGCCGATATCATAATGCAGTTAATAAAGTTTGTACAACTCGTTATCATTAATCTTTCAACAACAAACAAATCGACATTACGTTTGCATCAAAGATCACTGAATATTTGGCTATAGTGAGAAGCGTCGCAAGCCTTGTTACGTAACAAAAGCAACCTGAATAGCTTGAAATGAGAGAATATGCCTTGAGTCGATCCATAATTAATGTGTACAAGTATCTTTGGTGATAATCAGTTGGTTTATTTATTGGGCACCCTTTTATTATAACATATATGCATATAAAACCGGGTGGATGTAAACCGTTTAAGTAGTATCTCAAGGCGAACAGCGGCGATAACCGCCGCCATGCAGCAGGTCTGAATACAGAAGATTATTAGGTGACTTAGTATTGGTGCTGCGTGCGATGGGTAAGAAGCACCAGTTCTGTCTGGATAATTTCTGAATCATTAGGCCACGTTTGTAACCAAGGCCCTTGAGACTAATAAACAAGTTGGTGGA